TTTTTTTTTTAAATGTTATTCCTCTATTTCTTTTTGGCCTTCCCCCAAAAAGATACTGGTAAGCTATTGAATTTAGATATGCACCTCTAATAAGCAAGGAAGGATTGTTTTTCGTAGGATTTTTAAAAATGTGGTTTGGACGTGTGTTTTGATACCAAGTGTGCCGATGCGGAATCTTTGTTTACTTTCTAGGATTTTGTTTCTTTTTAAATTTTCCCCCAATTCAAGAGTTCATTTTTAAATTTTTTTCCACCCCCTTAACAATTCTTGCTGAGTTTACTGAAGAAACTGTACTTCCATCCACATCAATGAAAATAAAACGCTATCCTTTCATGGAAAGTGGTTCCCTGAGCGGCCATTTATTTGCAGTGTGTTTTGAATGGTGCCACTAGGGGATGGATAGCGAGAGGCCATCGTGAGTTTTTGTTTTGTTAAATCATGCAGTGTCCAAAAGCGAACCAAGCAGAATAGCAAAGCTCTACTTTTTCTCAAACATTAAGCACCATAAATTTTATTATGATTTTATTTCCCCTTAAATTATATTGATTCCACTGAGTTTGTAAACATCCCTATCCCCCGACCCCCAATATTTTTTTCCTTTATTTCAGCATGCCAATTGCAAAGTTTTTGGGTTTTGTTTTGGTGTTTTGTTTTTTTTTTTAATTTGGTATGGTTTGGTAAAAGTTTACTGCATTGCTAGTGCAGCTTATATAACCTATCTTGAAGGCTTGGAGTGGATTATTGCTTATGGTAAAATTTGCCTGATTTCTTACAGGCCGCGTTTGGAAACTTTTTATTATATAGTTGTTTACATGCTTATAACTATATCATTTAAGGACATGTACTGAAACAAATGTTGTATTTGTTTCATAAGCATCTTCCTGTAATCTATTATAAAAGTTGAAATTAAATATAGAGAATGTTTTAACAGTTTTTTAACTCAAAATTTGGCAATCATTTTTAATAGTTCTTTTTTTATAAAAAGAGGAATTTCGGGACAGGCAGTAGTCACTTTTAAAATTTATTCACAGAAACCATTAACTCCAGAGTTGCTATTAGCTGCCTGTTCTAAAACAATAGTCTTTTTATTGAAACACAAATAAACTTTTTCTGTAATATTTTATGGACTATACAGAGACTTTAATTGTTTGACTTGTTTAACTTGGCACTGTTAGTTTTTATTAATAAAATGCACATGGGCATTTTAAACAAAAAAAAAAGTTTCAAATAGTGATACCATTTGTCCCAGCAATTCCACTACTGGAAATATACCCCAAAAAGACCATAACTGACATCCAAGCAGATATTTGCACACCCATGTTTACTGCGGCTTTGTTCACAATAGCAAGGAGTTGGAAACAACCTAAGTGTCCACCAACAAACGAACTGATAGAGAAGCTGTGGTATATTCACACAATGGAATACTATGCTGCATTGAAAAGCAAGGAACTCATGTAATAGTATTCAAAATGCGTGAGCCTGGAGGACATTATGCTGAGTGAAATATCTCAGTCACAAAAGGACAAATATTGCATGGTGCCACTGTTGTAAAACAGGACTGACCTTGGGGTTCAGGGAGACTGATAAAGATGGGATAAATAATGTATACTGCATTGAAAGAGATGAGGGAGAGAACAGTTTAAAAGCAATATAATATAGGGCATTATGATTATCATAAGTGTCCAGAATGAAGGTTACAGAGTGGAGTATACTGGGGTGGGGGATTGTATACCAATGAAGGAATTTTTCTTTTACTTTTCAAAGAGAAGAGTGTACTGGGGCAGGGAGGAGTGTGAGAAAAGTGCAACAATGAATGGATGGAATTTTTTTTTTTTTAAAAAGGGATATGTAATTAGGTCTTATCGTCATGACAGGAATCCAGAATGAAGGCTGCATAGTGGAGTGGACTCAGGGGGAGGAATTGTATAACAATGAAAGAATTTTTATTTTACTTTTCAAAGATAAGAGCAAATTGGGGGTGAGGAAGGGGTGGGCAGGGAGAAAAGTGCAACAATGAATGAATGAATGGAAATCCTCAGTCTCTGTAAACTTTCATTAAAATTAATAATAAAAAAGTTTTAAAAACCCTATCGTACACTTAACTTACACTGTGTGTTATGTATGCATCATTAAATTTAGCCACAATGTTCAAGATGCATAGGCACACTATTGGCCTACACTGCAAAGAGTAATACTAGTAACCTAAAGGTTTGAATCCATGTGTTGCTCAGATAGATGAACTGTGTCTCTCATGCAATTTACAACTTCAGAAACCTGATGAAAAGCCTGATGAGTTAAATGTGAGTTGATGGCAATTAGTTGAGGGAAGAATGAGAATTTGTGAAATATTGTAAAACATGGATAAATATGGAGGAATTTGTGTTAAATGACATGCCAGTCAGAAAAAAAAAAGATACTGTGTGAAATCATTGTTATAAAAATCTAAGGAAAGATGTGTGCACAGAATCATTGTTGGATGGTTACTAGGCATGTAAAGGGAGGGAGAGGATAGAAGGGGAAAAAAGACAATGAGTAGATAATAGATACATTTTAAAGGAGTGCAGACACAGTATACAATAAAGAGGTGATCACCACATTATTAAAGAAAAGGAACATATAGAAAGAATGGAAATCATAATTATAGGGAGGAAGTAGGGAAAATTATTATATTGTAAGCATTGACATTGATGTTATTGAATAAAATGTGTATGAATCAATGAATTAAAAATTTATTTGCTTTGTAAATGAACTCACTCAAATCACAATAAGAAAATAAAATTATCTAAAAAGGTTATCTTTATTTGAAAGTTCTATAAATAACAATTTGTAAATATTTTCCCTTTAAATTATGGGCAGATATTAAAAGTTTTAAATTGTCAGCTTGCTTTTTCAGGTAAAAAATACTACATTGTCAAAACTACCCCAAGATGCACTGTTAATAAAGGTTCCAGTAGTAACCATCTTTCACTTGGATACAAGATGGGCATTATTTGGATAGACGTGGTTCTTTTTCATATACTTGGTTTAATTGTAATTAAATTTTACATTGTTGTTGTTGTTAAGTGCTTTCAAGTAGTAAACAACTCATGGTGACCCTATGATTGAAAGACCTGAACAGTTGTATAACTGGCATCGTTTCTCCAAGTTCATATAGTTTCCAGAGGCAAGCTATTTCGAAAATGGATGCCACTCCTGCTTCCATGCTTGTTTTAATCAGGGAGCTCCACCCAACACTGTCCACTATAGGTAACACTTACTGCATCTGACACACCAGTGTCATGGTGTTTAGCATCAAAGCAATCACAAGTTACCTCTGTACAGCACATGGATAGAACAATGCTATTCCACTTAGAAGAATGTTTGACCAAACCCAATTGAAACCAAGCCTGAAGGCCACAGATTACATTACCCAATTAAAAGTTGTTTCCACATTAGAGTGGTTCAAGGTAGCCAAGAAATTGAGTCAGAGTGAAGGGTGGTAAAGAAAATATAGCAAATATTGAAATTGGTAGTAACATTGATATCTCTGGGTGCAGTTTTAGGGTGAGATTAAATTAATGTTAGCAATTACTTTAATGAGTCTGATGTAGGACCATTCTATCAAAAGTATTTGATGTCTAATTAATTAAAATTTTAGTGTATTGAGAGGAGCACTGGATAAAGATGGGCAATCTCCTTAATTTACTACCTCTGTGATTTACAGCCTCTAAATACCACTGGAGAATAAGTGAATTCCAACAAAATGGTACAAAGTAACATGGTGTTTTGTAGTGTAAAGGAAAAAGTATAAATGTTTTGTCCTTTTATTGTTATTGTTGTTATTAGGTATCATTGAGTACAACTCATAGCGACCCCATGAACAAAAGATCTGAACCCTCTTCTATCCTGCACCATCCTCACACTTCCTGAAACACAAGAGCCTACTACTACACTTTCACTCTGGACTGATCTTTTTTTTTTTCCACTTTAAAAAAATTTTTTTGTTCAACTTTTTGAGGAAGTGCCAAACTGCCTGCCAGAGTGGTTGCACCATTTTACAATCCCACCAACAATGTATAAGAGTTCCTTTCTTGCCACATCCTCTCCAATATCTATTACTTGCTTGCTGCCCTGTTAAACTTTGCCACTGTTACTGGAATGAGATGCTACCTCATTGTGGTTTTGATTTGCATCTCTCTTATTGCTAGTGATTTCAGAGACTTGGAAGTAAAACCTGAGAGACAAACTGGGATCAAGCTTAGAAGTGCTAGTCCACGGTATAAAGAGATTACCAAATACAACCAGAAGTGCACAATCTAAAGAGGATAAAATTGATATATGGGGCCTTCTAAAGATTAAATCTCTGTGCACATCAAGAACTTTTTCCAACAGGGTGAAAAGAAAACCTACAGACTGGGAACAAACATTTGGCAATACCATCTCAGACAAGAATCTTACAACAAAAGTTTACAGAATACTCCTGGGCCTCCACAAGAAAAAGACATAACGCCATTACAAAATGGACAAAAGGCATGAAAAGAATTTTCACAGTGAACTTATCCTTTTATAGAGAGAGGTAAATACTAGTAATTAGCTGAACCTATTAATGAATTTCTAAAGCTCTGTTTTTCAAAGTAAAAAATTCAAAGAGGTAATGACATCATTATCAATATAGGTCTATAAAGCTGTACAACTTCAATGAAATAAGTGACTCATACTTTATTTAAAAATTAAAGTCAGTTTTTGTTTCTTTTGATAGAGGTATTGGCTATTTAAAAAAAAATTCTAGTCAGCTTCGTCTTGAGTTACATATACTTAAGGAAAAAATTAACTTTTGGAATTTCAGAGATGCTGCCTATGGAAGTTGTAATTTCTACATAACACTTCTCGACTGTTTCCATGCAATAAAGAAGGTAAGTGACTCATAAAATACTCTTAATACCATATTGGAGGACTGAAGTGCAGTACAAAGAAAGTAGGCCATCTTTCTCAAAGGGGAGGAGATCCGGTTTGTTAGATCTCTTCCAAAGGAGTGATGTCCAAGGGACACTATATCCCCTCTTCTCCCAATATTAGAACTATACAACCAGAAAACAATTTAAGTGTTTTAATAGTTCTCTGAAGTTGGAGAGGAGGGAAAGAAGTGTATGCAATTAAATATAATTATGTTTTGAATTCAGAGTTGGTTTTAAGCATAATGTGACTTTAAAAGGAAAAGTAAATTGCTAATTTTTACTTTGACTCTTGTATATTATGGAGATTATATATATATTCATGTATATTATGGATGTGATTCCTATAGATAGTATTTACAAAGGTATAGATATTGTTTACAAAAGCAAATACCAAGAGCTTCTTTGTACTTTTAAACTGTTCTCAGTTTGAAAAGAATTTGAAAAGCTCACTTGTTACAGATTTAATATAAAACAAAGGAGTTGCTACAGCTTTCTCAAAAGTGTTTTAAAATAACTCTTGGGTTATAACCTGTAGGTGGCTCTGATGGCATAGTGGATAAAGCACTTGACTGCTTAACCAAAAGGTTGGTAGTTCAAATTCACAAGCTGTTCCTAGCAGTTTTGCTTCTCTTTCGATATCCAGCCATGGAAACCCTGTGAAGATGCAGTTATGCTCTGTCCTGTAAAACTGCTATGGGTTTTTGTTTTGTATTTGTATTTGTTTTGTATTATTACCAGGCCTCCCTCTTCATATCTCTTAGTTAATTGGCCGCAGCAGTGTGTAATGCAGAAGCTCTGGTTATCACATTCTCTCAGGTGTTATTCTTGGGTGTTGGGGTAGTAAAAAAATGTAAGTCAGTAGTCCAGATAAGGATTCAAAAACATTTCAAGATTTATGTTACCTTTTTATTTTGAGATATAAAAGGACCCAATATATATTTTCTTGTATAAGGACACATTATGGCTTTCTGAAAATTTTAACATAAATTTTGTCTTAAAATGAGAGAACTAATTAGTATATAGAGGAACTCTAGTGGCTTAGGGGTAAGGAGCTGCACTGCTAACCCAAAGACACAGGCATTCAACTCCTGTGTAATTTACCGCCTCAGAAAACCTGCTGAAGGGTCAGCTATGAGTTACTTCTGCCTCAGTGGCACAGGACAGCAATTAGTATATAAATTCAGAGACTAAATAGTATGCTGTGATCCTGTATAGGAACTTGGTATTTTCTTTTCATCTGAGTCCAGTGACTGAGGTAGTTGTCATAAGTCCTGATATGTCTTAACTTGGGCAAGTACTAATCTTAGGTGAAGATCTAGAAACAGGAGAGACCAGGGTGTAAATGGTACCTTAAGCTACATTTTCAATCTCAGCCAAATGTACCCCAAACCAAACTTAACATTAAACCCTCTGTCGTTGTATTGTTTTCTACTCAGAGTAATCATACAGGTAAGAGTAGACTTGTCTTAGGGTTTCCATCAATCGGTAGGGAAGCACACTACTTTGTTTTTCTCCTGTGGAGCACCTGGCAGATTAAAACTACTGACTTTTCAAGTTAGCAAGTCAATTCTTAAAACATTACCCCACCAGATACACCTCCTCATTCTAAATCTCTCATTCCTCTGTCCCATCACTGTTAGAAAAAAGAAAAGAAAATAGGAAGGTCTTTGATGGGTACTTCAGCAGTTCCCATCAGTATCTTTCTATTTTTTTTTTTTGCCTGTATTAGATATTGCTCCAAAAGTCCAATTAGCTAGTGTTATAGATCAAAGATTTCTTTATTCCACCCTACATTTAGCTTTACTTGAGGATAAACTGCTTCATATTTTTAATTTAAACATTTTTATTTATAATTGATTTTAAATATTATTACATATGTGAAAAATTTCTGTAATTTTAAGTTTAGTTCTAACAACCTCCAACCTGATTTCCTCTTAAAATTCAAAGGAAACTAAAAATTGCCAGTGAACTATATTTTCTATTATTATTATTATTAATCTCTGGTGGTGTAGAGGCAAGAAGCTGCACTGCAGTCTCAAAAGGGAGTGGTTTGAGGCTACCAGCTGCTCTGCAGGAGAAGGATGGACAGTCTCCTCTCAGGTGATCAACTGCCTCTGAAAACTTACTGAAGCGTCAGTTATGGGTTGGTTCAGGCTCTATGGTACACAACAACAACAACAACAACAACAACAACAACAATTATTACTGTATTAGAAAATAATAAAATTTAGTATTATCAGATTCCAAATGAAATTCAGGAATGATATGGTTTTAGAATTAGAATTAAAGATATATTTGATAAAATGAAGACTTGCCTTTTATTCTAGTGAAGAATTATTTAGAACAAGTATGTGGATAAGCAAACTTTATTTTCATTTGCAGCAAATGAAAAGGAGACAGAGTCTAATGCATTAAAGAATGTCATCTCAAAGAAGGGAAGTTCATATTAGCACTTTTAGCAGAGACAGGTGGAATTACCTTGCAAAAGGAGATATTATACAAGTTAGAAAGCATACACAATGGTTTTTATCTTGACATTGTCATCATGGGCATGTCACATGAGTGCAATCACTCTCATTGTGTCTGCACATGGCATGGCACCTGAAATGTCTTACACATAATTTAAAAGAGAACAGAATTAAAGATTATTAGGAAGAAATACCTGGGGCTGCCTGTATGAGGACTCTTCTGTGTGTTTTACAGCCCCTGAAAAATCACAGGAGGGTCAGTTATTAATTGGCTCCAACTCAATGACAGGGAGTAAATATGTAGAGTATCCTGAGCCATTTGACAAACAACTTGTAGTTAGCTTTCTTGAACTGTACCACTTTAGGGGAAAAATACTTTGCTACAATGTTGTTGTTGTTGTTGTTGTTGTGTACTATGGAGTCAAAACAGACCCATAGCTGACCTTTCAGCCGCTTTTCAGAGACAGTTAATTGCACAGGTGATTGCTCATTTTTCTCCTGTGAAGCAGCTGGAAGATTTTTTTTTTCAAGACAAGAATTTCAGTTTATTTTTGAAAAAAACAAAAGCTAATCCTCCCACCACAGCCCAGGAAGGCTTTCCCAAGGGGCCTGCCCCTCCAAATGGTCAGCAGCTAGAGGATTTGAATTGTGTACTATTGCATTGGCAGCACAATTCCTTACCACTAAGACACCAGCGCTTGCTTTGCTACAATAGAAAAATAAAGTAATTTTATTTGGCATATTGTTTAAGAAAGAAAAGAAATGGGGGAAACAGGAAAGCTGTGATCAGAGTAATATTCACATAATGTTTATTCTTTCTATTCACTGCAAAAACTATTAACTGCCTAATAGATTGGGGGTTTGAGGGGAGTGTTTTTCTTTTAATCTTCTTTGATTCAAAGATGGAAAGAATTTTATTATCAATGCACAGAATTTTTTTTTTCTAGATATCAACCCTCCATTGGATTTCTGAAACTGAACTGCAAGGGAAGAGATTGTCCATTTTCCCATATAGAGCCACTGGTGAATTTGAAGCACCACAAGGTCCCAGCCTTTGGGTTAGCAGTGTCAGTCCATAGGAACTGTACCATTTATGTAGACAGAAAAAACAAAAGGAAGATGATGAGGGTTTTTTTGGTTCTGTTCTTTTAACCACACAAGGTGGTCTATTAGTTAGAAGAGAAGATTCCTCCCCTCCACTTCTTTTTTTCTAGGAGGAAGCACCAAGTGTTAAGGGCTCTATTGACCTGTAAACAACAGATCAGAACCTTGGCCAATCCTGTACTAGCTTCACTAGCTCAGCCCTGCTCAAGGCCACTGTTGGTCACCTTGTTCTCAAACTATCTCCTTTAGAGTCTTCCTCTTTCACTGACTCTCCACCTTTAACAGCATGATGCATCAGCAAGATTCATCAAAAATCTACTCTATGGGGGAGCTTAAACATAGTGTTGCACAATTTGATGGGTGGAGGGAGGGACTGGTAAAGGAAAGGAGAAAGGTCCCGTGTGAAAAACAATATATATGAACTTTGTGAACTTTGTATGTAAACCAGTATAAAATTTAAAAGAAACACACCTACATTATGCAGATAACACAACCTTACTTGCTGAAATTGAGGAGGACTTGAATTGCTTGCTGCTATAGAAGATCAAAGACCACAGCATTCAATATAGATTACATGTCAAAATCAAGAAAGCAGAAATCCTCATCACTGAGCCTCCATGATAGATGAAGAAAGATTGAAATTGTTAGCCAGTTTATTTTACTTGGATACAATTAATACTATTGGTACCAGCACTCAAGAAATCAGAAGAATTGTTGGTTTGAGAAAGTCTTTTCTTAAGAACTTCTCCAAAATACTAAAGAGCATCATGTCACTTTAAAGTCTAATGTCTGAAGTCTAAGGTGTTCCCTGTTAAAGTCTCAAGTGTACCTGATTAAGGCTATGGTCTTTTCATTCATTTGCTATGTCTCTCAGAGCTGGAGAGTGAGTAAGGATGACAGAAGAAGAATTGATGACTTTTAGTTATGGTATTGGAGAAGGGTCCAGAGTATCCCATTGACTGCCAAAAGAATAAGCAGGTACGTCTTGGATAAAGAGCAGCTAGAGTATTTAATGAAATAACATATGAGCAAGAGCCTATGGTGATGAAGGAAGAAGTTCAAGCTGCTTTGAAGGAAATAGCAAAAAATAAGGCCCCAGGAATAGATGGTATACCAATTGAAGTATTTCAGATAACAGATGTTGTCCTGGATGTGCTCACCAAGTTGTGCCAAGAAATCTGGAGAACAACCACTTGGCCAACTGACTGGAAGAGATTTAGATTTGTTCCCATTCCAAAGAAAGGTGACCCAACTGAGTGTGGAAACTACAGAACAGTGTCATTGATTTCACAGGCAAGCAAGATTCTACTGAAGATTATCCAAAAACGATTAGAACAGCACATCAGCAGAGAACTACCAGAAGTCCAGGCTGGGTTTAGAAGGGGT